GTGTTTCAGACTTGAGAGGAGGGGTGGGGTGTGTGTGTGTGTGTGTGTGTGTGTGTGTGTGTGTGTGTGTGTTTGTGTTGGAGAAAAAGGCCTGGGAGGAGATTCAGGAACTACCACAAAAAGCTTTTGAACTAATAGTGTAATGGAGCAATTTCATGATCGCAGTGAAATACGGAATTGATGAAACAGCACAGACCGTTGGCCTTTTGATCATCTTGGAATGAACTGATTTGTAGGATTATTAAAAGGTAATGAGCGCGAAACAAAAGAGAAGTCTGCCAACATAGAAAATAAGCTTGACTTTTCCATTTCCATTTCCATTATGTCCCCTTTAAAGTAAATGATGTACCTTAAAGACCAAATCATTAAAAATACTTATATTCTAGCTAAATTCAAAGGAAATTAAAGTTGATATTATCTCTTTCCCAACTCCCTTTGTGTCCTGACTTATTTCAGACTGCTAACGTTTGTACCTTCTTACCTACATTAATTTAGTTTTTAAAACTATTGTCATTATTTTGTGCTTGAAGAAACTTTCATGCTCTAACTTCTTTAATTGTACTTTAAATTTTTAGAAGGTGATCTTTCTTCTCCTACTGCTTACAGACCCCTTCCTGGATAATTTCTCCTGCATTTAGTGACCTGCCTGTATGAGGAAACCCTCCTGTGTAAGGAGACCCTCCTGAAGCCGTGAATAACCTTCTTAGGTGCTGGATTCCAGCCTTTTGCAGTAGGTTATCACAGCCAGAGCAGTGAAAGAAATGAAGCTGCTGTCAATACAGGACATTTTATTGTCTGACTCTTAAAGGAGATACTATGTAGACTGAGGATAGTAAAACATATTTGCAGGTATATGGTAGAATATATTATAGGTATTGGTATCCTGGGCCTCTTTCTATGTGATTTGGAATAAGAAACTAATTTATTGAACATTTTATTTATTGAATTTATTGAACATTTCCATGCACTTTATTTGTAGCAATATGTAGCAAGACCTGTACTTTTTTTTCCTCTTTTTCTTAATGTGCTTTTTTTTAACCCAGAAAAGCCAATGACCTGGTTTGAATTTTCACAAAATCATTGATAACAGCATGAGAGAAATATGATCAGCAAACACTTTTCATCACTTTTATCAATGACACTAGTCTTAGAAATCAAGTATTTGAGGTTTAGATGTTTCATTTTCCTTTGAAGATATTCCTCTCATTTACATGACATTCTCACATGAATTCTGCTCTGACTCCTACTTGTGATGCTGTGGTTTTCTTAGTGCTCAAAATTTTCCAAGGAAACTGAGTCTGGCTGGAATGTTGAACATGGTGTGATAAGTTATTGGTGCATTGAGGGCCAGAGTCAGAAATGCAAATAGAAACTGAAGTTCTGTGAATACTGATGCTTCTCAGCAGGTCAACATGGTGACCAGGGTGCTGTCCTTGGCATCAGTTCTGGAGGTCCTGCCCAAGTTGGACCCAGCCAGCATGATGGGCGAGCAGAGGTGCTCCACCTGCAGCATTTGGCTGATGTTGGCCAGGCTGAGTGAGGGCCCACCAGCTCCCCTTCTTTCCTGCTGTGCTGCGCTTGCAGAGTTGGGCTTCTCTATGAGGGAGGGGAATGTTACCTCCCCTGGCTGGTGTTGCAGCTGCTTAACTGAAGCACTTTGAGGTGCTTTCATCTCCTCTTGGCAGGAGGCCACAACACTGCTCTGAGCGGAGGGGTGAAGTAATATTCAGATTCAAACCTTCTTTAGGAGTGGGGCCTGCCTTTTTCAGTTGGCGCAAGTGGAATTTGGGCTGTGGGCTTGTGTTGGAAGAGCTATTCTCTATTCTTGAAGTCTATTGCCAGTTCAAGTTGTTACTCACTGGAGCATTTTTCCATCCACTTCAAGCCAGTCTCATATGTGGCATAGTTTTCATACTGTCATTAAAATCTAAACTGTAAAGTATGACAAAGCTTAGTAAAGGATTTGGGGTTCTGTAGCTTAAAGGAGGAGTTATGATGCAGCATGTTCAAAGTGAATTAAAGTGATGCTCATATTGTTGTTTTGAGAATGTAGATCACACTACCCATAAAACTCTGTGAATTATGAATAGGTAGCAGACAAGGTGAATAGCTCATGTTTGAGATATTTTGAAGGACACATCTTAATTTACTCTAATTTTTTATTTTGGAAAGTTTCTTTACAGTAGGTTTAGATAAAGTGACATTGCAAATAGAAAAGAACACTCATGATAGTGAGATTCTTGAAAGCATAACAGGAAATGTATTGCTATATATTAATAATGAAAGAAGTGAGTTGTAGTAATAAAATGAGTGGGCTCTTAGTTCTAAGAATCATTTTTAGTGAAAAATGAAAGCATCATTTAGAACATATATAGCATGTTGGCACCAAGCTTTTCTTCTCATTTCTTCCAACTTCTACCCTTACTTACCTTTCCTTCCTTCTCTTATTCTTCCTTTGTTAAGCAGTTGACCATTAGTTTTTGTTGTTGTTGTTTGTTTATTTTGGTACTGGGGATCAAACTCAGGTCCTTGCGCTTGCGAGGCAGTCACCAGAACTACTGAACTAAATCCCCGGCCGTGTTTGTTTGTTTTTTGAGGCAGGGTCTCACTAAGTAGTTGAGACTGACCTGGAACTCACTGTGTAGCCCAGCCTGGTCTCAAACTCACAGCGATTCTCTTGGATCAGCCTCCCCTAGTGCTGGGATTACAGGCGTGCACCACCATGCCCAGCAGTTAGCCATTAGTTTTTATATAACACGTGTCAAAAGGTCTTTCCCAAGTCTTACCTCATGTTTGTGGTGGCATATATCACTTTCTGTACCTATCAGTCAGGAATGTCTGCTTGTATCTTGGAATTCATGGAGATTGGAAGTTGCTACCTAACATTCTGACTTTTTTTTGCCCTGGTCCCTCAACTCTGTTTACTAAAACCCTTTCTTGCTACTCAACCAGATATTTTTCTTTTTGATTCAAATTATGGTAGGGTAAGCTCAAACTTTCATAAACACTGCAATAAACATTGATTTTATTTTCTCGCATCTCAACTTCAGATGAGGGAGCACACTAGGTTGCTAATCTCCATCACGCCCATAAAACTCCTAACCAGACGCTACAGTTTTTCTTGCTGATATAACCAGCCAATTTAATAATATTTATTATATCTTTGTTGGGTGCCTGATACTGTGTTGAACAATTTAGCATGTTTAAGAATTAGAACATTTTTCTCTAGAAGCTCACAGTTTTACAACATCAAACAAACATTTATGTGTTTCATAAGTGGTGTCAACTTGTAAAATTCTTTATTAGAAATTAATTTGAAAGATACCTCAAAGAGGTATTAGCAGTCTGTTAATTCTTTCACATACCTTTGAGAAAAAGGAAAGAAAGCAAAGCAAAGAAAAGAAAGGCTTTAAAAGTAACATATAAGAGGATTACAAGATCAAGTCCAGCCTGGGCAAATTATCAAGACCTTGT